ACACTGCACACACATGGGGCTAAATGATGCCTTCATGGGCTTCATCTTAAAATTCAAAATGTACTCATTATGTAGTTGAGTGGCTCCCATCAGTGTTATATTAATACCTCCACTTTAGAGGTTTTATTTCACCAAATTACTGAACCAATTCACACCAAACTTGGCGGAGGGATGGCGCCCATTACATTTTGGTGCAAATCCGGTAAAAGGTGCAAATCCAGGAATGTGATCACTTTCTTCAATCCCGCACAATATGAAGTTTTTCGCCATTTTCGTCATTTTCTCGGGGAGTAATGTTTGGATCTTGATTCAGACGTGGTGTCGAGATCTATGAGGTTAGATCTGTTCAGACGTAGCGTTAACATCCGCCTCAGGTCATCGTGTCACAAGCGGACAGCTCTATGTACAGGTGTGAACACACCCAAGACGCATCGGGAACACATTTGAGATCCGATCACGTTCAGAGGTGGTAGGATTGATTTGTCTTGGTGGAGGTGTACGCTCTGTTGAGGGCCATTCTCATTTTATAATGATAATAATGGCTTATTATTACTGATGCAATACCTTTTTTAACAGCATTGTTGCAGGTGGAGCTCTGAGCTCTTTGACTGCTGGGTAGTTTATCTGAAACAATTTGCTGTATTTTATAATTTGATCATATGTTTTATTCTGTCAGAATAGTTAGAAGTACAATAAATCACCCTGAGACGTGGTAGTATAGTATAAACTAGCATAAAAATGTAAAGTAGCACAGTGCCTGAGTAAATGTGCTTTAGTTACATCCAACCACTGATCTCATGGAAGGAATAACAGATATATGTCGCACCAAACCAAAAGAAGAAGAAAAAAATAATTTTTTAATTAAGGACTTGTTAATTATGCAGAAAGACGTCCATGTTTGTACGTCAAAGAACATCAAGGATGTCATAAAATTAGAACTTTAAAATTGGATTTTTACTGTGGTTTAAAAAACACACACATTTCAACACTTTGACATTGGGCTCACCATCTATTACATTAACCGTCAGCACTGAGGCTACTTTGCAATCTGTCTGAGTTTTTTTTTTTTTTTTTTTTGTCCGGGCTGTAATCCTGTCTTACTTCAAAAAGCAGCTACTCTCAGCGAGTGAGGACTGTAACTCTAAACAAAATAGCTGAGAAGGCAGAGGGAGCGGGGCCAGTGATGCAGAGTGAAACAAGGATGATGCCAGTGATATGTGATACTGTCTCCTAGTGTTTCATGCCTGTCGCTCATATAGACTTCAAATACGTTTTCAGCCGAGTTGCACCACAGTGCCCATCGCTGTATCTCCCAGCGCAGATAGTCACGGTGGCTTTACGGCTGACGTGTGTGTGCATCAGTAAGAGAGAGAGAGAAAAAAAAGATGATCAAACAAGCCCTAACTTTGATGAGATTATCATTTATTTCATTCTAATTAACAAGTCTTTTATGTCAACGGGGGGGGGGGTTGGACGGGCAAAATGGATTTGGCTTTCTGCTGTACTGGCACTGTGGGTGACAGCCAATGCTCAGGCCTCTTTATACATGTCAGCGATTCATTCTTTAAAACCATCCATAAGGCTCTTATCTCTCGGTGCTTTGGGTTTTTAATGCCGTCAACGCTAACATTCATTGTACATGGTACTTAAAGTAATTGTATTCCTCCTCAAAAGCCATATTACTCAAAACTGGTCCGACTCGGAGTCTTTTCAGAAGGTGAATAAGACGTGATTTCCCTGCTGAAAAGTTCTCGAACAAGCCATTTAACAGGTGCTTTGAAAGATTATCATACCGCTCAGTAAAGTTACTCTGATTGTTGCTTCTATATGTTACACCTTTGCCCTCAAGTCGCCCTCGGAACCGTCTTGATAGCTTCCCAGAAAACGGTTCAGACTCCTTGATTCTTGCTGCCTGGCTTTTCTGTGCTTCTTCCAGCATGCAGGGTTTCTTTTTTTTTTTTTTCGTGGCGGTTTTAGAAGGGCTTCCGCTGTAACCTTGCCAGTGGTATATGTTGTATGGGAGGGAAAGGGAGGCTAGAGGAGTCTGTGAGAGCACACGATAACCTTTAGGGCCAAAACATCAAGCTCTCTTGCGCTGAAGCCTTGTGCCAGGAAAAGATATGAAATATTTTTCTTGACATTTTGGGGGGATTTGATGTATTTTTCATGTTCTTTTTTTGGGAGGCAGGAGACAAGCTCTCTGCTGGGTTTATGTAGGAGTGTTTTTTTTTTTATTTTTTAAAGGCACTACTGTGTTTTTGTTTGTTAACACTTACTGAGCCAGGGACATTGACTTAGAGAACATTGCTTTGGGTCCATAGATTTGGCGAGCCTAAAGAATTTGCAGTCACATTCGCCTGTTGCAACTGAAAGCTATCCAGTCCTGCCCAGAGGTCGTCCTGTGTTGTTCAGTTCAGGAGCGACCATTTCTTATGCACCGCTTCTGCATATATCTTTTAGGAGGGATTCAAAGGCCTGCTTATTTTTGTCTTCCCCTAGTTATTTAGAAGTCGCCGCCTATGAGCCAAACGTCGTCATGTGGAACAGCTGTGTTGGAAGCTTACGATATTGTGAAAATACGAATGCACATGTCACCTATTTCTTCCCTCTTACCCATATTTAATTGGCAGCAGATAAGAAAGCGATCATCCTTGTGCTTTCAGGACACAATTGAGTAATTTACAGAGCAATTATGACAGTTATGATGAGATTACTGCCTGGCAACTCACTTGTCCTTCATTGTCTCTTTGTGATTTAATTTGCAATGCCGTGTCAAGAGGCACTCAGTTTGAAGTTTTGAGGCTGTGGAACACTGTGACAAATTAAATCAAACATTGCTGGAGGAGCCCACATCTGAAGACAGAGGATTTTTGTTTCTTGGTTTTTCGGTACAGGCAAATATATGTCATCAACACTTTCTGTGATACTTTGGGTTTAGATCCCAGTAGGCGTGGACGATCATACGTTGGCATATGATCTGTTTCTCGGATGAATCGTACAGATCGTGTCATTAAAAGGTGCTATATTCAGGTATTTAACTGCTAACCAGCCCCATTGTTAACTGTTCTACAGCTAGCCCGCTAACGGCAACGGCACGCTGTGTTCTGCTCTGCAGCCTTGGTGACCTTGGCGTAGCGGCAGTCCAGCAAGTAGGAGACGTAGTAGGCGGAGCTCACAAACGTCTGATAGAAGCGGCGGAAAGATACGAATCACAACTTCCCGGTCAGGACCTTCACAATAAAGACCAGATCGCCCACCCATAGTTCCCAGTGATGGACAGTAACAGTGCTATAAATGGCTGTTGAAAAAAGAGATTGATCTTGGTTGTAACAGTCCTGTATGTTTTCCAGTAATCAAATTGAATTGTGGAAACTCACACATTTTGAAACAAATTTTCAAGCCAGATTTATAATCTTAGACAAGAATCAAGACATCTTCCTACATCACCGCCCCTGAAATTAGCTTTTATCTACCACTGAAAAAGACTGTCACATTTTGATAATGTCATTTTTGAAATAATGGCAGCAGGAAAGACGGAAGCAGGGGCACAGAGGAGGGGCGAGGTGTCAGAAGAAGAAAGAGGGAGAGGAACAGGGAAAGACGAACATGAACTGGGAAAATAGGAAAAAGGAAATAAAAAATAATTAAAATCATTGTGATAGCTTGTTTCCACTATGTTCCTCTGCTTCTGGAAAAGGGAGAGATCCAAGTGTTTCTAAGAAAAAAAAAAGGGAATAGGCTTGAGGAGGTGTGGACGCTTATCCAGGGGGGAGGGTTTTTAAGGGAATTGCTCTCCTCGAGGGGATGTGTGTGTGTGTGTGTGTGTGTGTGTGTGTGTGCGCATTTGATTTTGTCTAGGTGGCCATGTGTACAGTATGTCTGAGGGAAAATGCATACACAGCTTTCTATGTTTAGCCTTGTGTGTCTGTCTGTGGCCTTGTATATGTGCGTGTGTCCATTTCTGGTCTATGACTGCATGCTTGACAATGTGTGTGTGGGTGTGTCTGGGTGTGTGTGTGTGTGTGTGTGTGTGCGTTTTCCCCCGGTGCTGCCTGTGTGCTGGTTAGAGCATTAATGATGTGTCTAGGGAGCACTGCCTCTACATAATTTATCAACCAGGATTTATTAGCCGCAGAATTAACTTGTAGGGGCTGGGGAGCACAGGATGCATTTGTTCTTGTTTTTGGATTTATGTGTGTGGATGCATTGTCACTCCCCTGTGATCCATTTCTCTCCATCAGCCTCCTGCCATGGGGGCGTCCCCAGCCGTATAATTGGCCAAGTTATTTTAATTTTAGTCGCATTTAAATTACAATTCAGAGCACTGCTTTTGAGCACGTCTGTATGTGTCTTTGTGTGTAAGGAGTAGGGGCTTAGTGGATGGCAGTTTATAGCCACAGCAGTGAATCCTGTTCATATTGTTTTTTATGAACCTGTTCATATTGTTTTTTAGCATTCACCCTGTGTGTGCATCCATCTTCCCTCCCTTGCAAAATTAGTTAAATTTAGTCAAACGATAAAAATGGGAGACAAAAACGAGAAATGAGAAATACAAATTGTGTGGGTGACACCTCTAAAAGACAAAGGGGCAACTAAACTAAAGATTAAAGCAAAGTTTCATCGGTGCATTCCACAGCCTTTGCTATAAAAGCACCTGCCCTTGAATCTGTTAAATTGTTGTGCAGTCAACAAAAAGCTTCATACCTTGTTGGAGTAAAAGTTTCCCTCGCGTATTTTTTTTTAATCCAGCCTCCATCAGTCCCTTTCTTTTACATGCAGCTGTCAACTGCTTTACTTTTCAGAAGCAGAGCATGACCATTTTCATAATTAAGTTACCAAACATTCTGCCTCTATGAAGCCTTTTAAGGTCTATGAAGCCTTCACTTATTTTCTTTCTTTAAACCATTTGCTTGAAGAGCAACATTTGAAATTTTTCTGTAATTGTTTTGCCCTATTAAAATTGTGTCCTGACTCACACGTCATTTTGCTTTCTGTTCCAGATTACTGAGATGGGTAAGGATTCCCTCCCTGCCTGGCTGCACTGGGATGCCAGCAGCCGAATCCTGCAGGGTCTACCTTTGGAAGAGGACAAAGGTGTCCATTACATCTCCGTGTCCATCTCAAACCACACAAAATCCTCTTCTTCGGAGGTGTTTTCCATTGAGGTACACCCAGAAGATCATTTGGACGCAGATTCGGCCCAGCTGACATCCAACCAAGCCTCTGCTGAAGATGACGTCCAGCCATTCATGTGTGGCAACGAGGAACCGGTCACAGTGCTGACGGTGATCCTGGATGCCGATTTAACCAAGATGAGCTCAGAACAGAGGGTGGGGCTCCTTGATAACATGAGGAGCTTCTCTGGGGTGGGGCTCCAGCACATGAAGATACTCCCCGTGGTCAACAACAGGCTGTTTGACATGTCTGCATTCATGGCTGGGCCAGGGAATGCTAAAAAGGTGAGTGAATGTGCAAACAAGTGAGTGAGTTAATGAGAATGAGTGTTAATAAATGCATGCACATATGGTTTTGTGGATAAATAAATACTTATTAGTGAAGTTAGTGAATTATTTAATATATCTAATTTGACGGCTAATTAATGTCTCAATGTGTCTCTAGGTGGTAGAGAATGGCGCTCTGTTGTCCTGGAAGCTTGGCTGCTCGCTGGATCAGAGCACAGTCCCAAATATCAGCAGTGTCCAGGGTCCTGCAAAGGAAGGCACGATGTCGGCCAAGCTGGGCTACCCCGTAGTGGGATGGCACATTGCCAACAAGAAACCCCATGTCCCTAAGCGGGTAAGGCGCCAATTAAACAATACTCCAACACCTGTTCTGGCAGTGCTTCCTCCAACAACAGTAGTGGAGCCTCCAGTGAGGATTATTCCAACCCTCTCCTCTCCCTCTATTGCCGCACCAACTGAAAGCTCCGCTCCCCCTGTAAGAGGCCCCGTTCCTCTACCAGGCAAGCCTACGATCAGAGTCCGCGACCCTATCGCCCACACTCCAACCTTGGGACCTCCTCAACCAACAAGGGTAATGGAGACCACCAGCACCATTCCCATCCAGCCAACCATGACCAGGCCTACATATGTGGAAGCCACTGCCACACCACCCACACCTACCAGAAGACCTACCAAGAAACCTAAGAGGCCTAAATCCACACCGGTACCCAGAGAGCCAAAGACCTCCACAGCGAAGCCGCCCACGCGCACCACCCCATCACCTGGTGTAATTCCGGATCCATACAATAAGAAACCTGTCTTGCGTAACCCCATCGACCAGGTCAATGCATTGGTTGGCACATATTTCGAGGTTAAGATCCCACCTGATACATTCTTTGATACAGAGGATGGGACAACAGACAAGCTGCGTCTCACCCTGAGACAGAACCACAATGACGTGGTTCAAGAGGGTTCCTGGATCCAGTTCAACACCACCAGCCAACTTCTCTATGGCCTGCCTGATGTCCAGCACGTGGGAAAACATGAATATTTCATGCACGCAACTGATAAAGGAGGCCTGAATGCAATCGATGCTTTTGAGGTCCGTGTGAACCGCTGGCCCATCAATGACAAGACCCCTGTGATCTTCACAGCCCGATTCGAAGGGGAGCCACGTTCTGTAACCAATGACATCCACAAGAAAATCCTTCTGGTCAAGAAGCTGGCATATGCCCTGGGGGATCGCAACAGCAGTACAGTGAGTCTACGGAATATCAGCAAAGGCTCCATTGTGGTGGAGTGGACGAACACCAGCCTCCCTCAGCATCCGTGTCCAAAGGAGCAAATCACGGCCATGAGCAAAAGGCTCGCCACTCCTGATGGAAGGCCCACGGCGACCTTCAGGTACTCTATGGAGCCTGAATTTAGAGCACTGGACCTCATGGTCAAGGGAAGGGCCAGCTGCAAAACATATTCCTTCATCCCACCAGAAGAGATCGACACAACAGAACCTCCAGCGGTCACTCCAGCTCTGGGAACAGGGCGGCAAAGCACAGATGATGTCTATCTCCACACAGTCATTCCTGCTGTGGTGGTTGCAGCAATCTTGTTAATAGCAGGTATCATTGCGATGATCTGCTATCGGAAGAAGCGAAAGGGCAAGCTGACCATTGAAGACCAGGCCACCTTCATCAAAAAAGGTGTGCCGATTATCTTTGCCGACGAACTAGATGACTCTAAGCCGCCTCCTTCTTCCAGTATGCCCCTGATCCTCCAGGAAGAAAAGCCCCCACTTCCACCCCCTGAGTACCCTAACATGGCCACACCAGAGACCACTCCCCTCAACCAGGAACTGCTTGGGGAGTACACAGCTCTGCGGGATGAGGACCCCAACGCACCTCCCTATCAGCCACCGCCTCCTTTCACAACTCCCATGGAGGGCAAGGGCTCCCGTCCCAAGAACATGACTCCCTACAGATCACCACCCCCATACGTGCCGCCCTAAGACTTGTTTAACCCTCCCCTCATAGGGCGGAGGGAGAGGATGCCTGAGGAACTGTAACGGTTTCCATTCTGGTGTCTGTCTGGACTTTTACAGGGAGAGATGACAAGAGGTGCTAAAGTACAAAACAGCTACAAGGGATTTAGGTTGGGGAGGGGGAAGCGATGAGTCGGGTGGGGTTTTACAGTAGACAGATGGGATGATTGGTTGAAACAGCTGGGAGGGACTACTGTTTTAGTGGTAGCCCAGCTACTACAGTGGCCTAAGACAAACAAATTCTCATCACACTGGCTTTTCGGGTCGACCAGTTGGTCAGAAGTGACAATTGGGAGACGTGCTCTCCCATCCCAGCATTTCATTTTTTTTCCCTCTGTTTATTTGGATACAGGCTTTTATTTTGAATTCATCTTTATCCCAAGATTATTATTCTTTTTCTTTTCTTTTTTTTTTTTTTTTTTGGACTGAATCGTTTGCCTAACAACTCGTCTTTTGTCTTGTTTTTAAATAATACGAGAAGACAGTGAACTGCCATCAGACCACTGCAGGCGACAACTCGTGTTTTTAATGAGAGTGAGATTCTCTGAATATGAAAAAAAAGCTTATCACAAGGAAATCACCCCTGCAGACGACACAAGAGAATCGGAGGCCAAGGTGTGTGTGTGTGTGTGTGTGTGTGTGTGTGTGTGTGTGTGTGTGTGTGTGTGTGTGTGTGTGTGTGTGTGTGTGTGTGTGTGTGTGTGTGTCTCTGTGTGTGTGTCTCTGTGTGTGTGTGTCTGGGTGTGTGTCTGGGTGTGTGTCTGGGTGTGTGTGTGTGTGAGTGTGTTTATTCAGATTCAGTACGGTTTGCCTTTTAACACTAGTTGTCTGTTTCTATCCTTATTCACAATGTCTAGTAAAGATGACAATAACAAGGTAGCCTAAAAAAAAAAGATTTAGAGATGAATAATAAATAATTTGTTTGTTTCATTGGTTTTTAAAATTCACTGTATATCTGGAAGATGTTCTGATAGATTGTGTTTTATTTTTTTGGTGGTGGAAGAAAGAGAGAGGAAAGAGACTGCCTCACTAAAGTAACCTGCAGGAGCTTTTTATTCCTGTTCTGATAATATGTCAATAACAGGTCATTAGATTCAAATGCCTACCTTCCTCAACAGATCTAACAGGATCAATAAGGTATAAGCAACAAGGAAATAATGAGCTACTGTTTTCATGACGAACTTAAATAAGTTAACTAACTTGTAAATGCAGAGTTTAATGTGGATTTGAATGCACAATTAATAGCTGTATGTGGATTTCCGTTCATCCAATTTGACCTCACTGTGGCACCGTTGTTACTCCAAGTTAACAAAACCACAGTGAGACTTCGGTGGAATGCCATTTTTGCCCCTTTTCCACCTCCAACATGTACCTGAACGGAAAAAAAAGAGCCCTACAGCTTATTTTGGTCCAGGGATAATTATTTTTTTTTAGTGTAACGAGGCAGTTCTTCTCTCCGGTCTGAAGAGAAAACATTGTGTGCCAATGGAGTCTGTCCCAGATGGGATTGTACAAATATTCACATTTTAGAGGTCACAGAGGAGATGATGGAGGCAGAGAAAGAACCCCAAATTTCCAGTAATTAGCTCACAGAAAAGCGGTCAAAGAAAATCTCCTTCGAATATTTTTTTTTTTACAAAGTTTTTTATACAGCCTCAAATTGTTTGATTATTAAAAGAAAACATGATTAATGATTAGTCTTCTGTGATTTGTAAAATCTTAGCCTAGAAGTTCCATTATGATTCAATTATGTACACTTTTATTTTATTTCATTTCTTTTTTCTTTTTTTTTTTCTTTTTTTTGTCATGGGTCACATATTTCAAGTGTTTTATTTTATTGTGTGTGTTTGCATATCAAAATGTATCTCCCACTATAAAAAGATGAAATGACCCATATTTTATGTAATCACAAATTTTATTTTTATGTCCTTATGTTTGCTGATGAGTTTCAACTGAAAGTGACCCTTTGCAATAATAATGTAAGGCTCAGTCCGCTCAGTGACTGGTCGATGCAGGCTCAAAGCGAGTGACTCGTATTGTCATAATATTGTTGGTTTTTTGCAGGATGCCAAGGCTTTTGCTTATCAAGTGTGCATTGTCATAATAAAACCAACTGGTACGATAAAAATCAATCCTTCTTCATTCATGTATCTGATTTCTCCATGCTGGTTCTGTTGGGAGTCCCCCCCCCCCCCCCCCCCCCATATCAAAACCTGACTGATGAGGTTTTTGGTCACTGTCACTTTTCTACTGCTCCCACTTAGCCTTGAATTGATAAATCAATCCGTCTCAAGTCCACGAGAGGTTTTACCTCCCTAGACGGCTTGCTGCCTGGCAACCATCTTTGGTCTTTGGACTCATTGGAACGGTCGTACTGCTGTCCTTTTTGTACTAAATTATTCTGCTATTGAATGACTGGTTGGACAACTCAGTTTGAAAGCTCTGCCCATTAAAAAGGCTATGCTGTGAAAACAGTCTCTCAGCTCCATCTCTCTGTCCACACATTGCACACAGATAATTTGCATTGATTGCTCAGAATATTGATTAGATGTAAACAATTTGCCAGCACTGTTGTACCTCTGTTATAATTCATGACACAGTGGAAGTTGAAAGTAGGGGAAGCAATGATGAATGTATTCCCAAGACACTGCTAGTTGCTAAAGTGGATAAACAGATCAGAGTGATGAGTAAATGATTGATTAATTGATTGTGGTGGCTGAATGTTTACATGTCAAGGTCCTCATTTTTCGAAATAAAATCAGCAATATGCTCATTTACAAGGTAAAGGGTTGAATCAACACGTCAGGCCTGAGTCTTTATGAAAACTGATTATATGTATTGGATTGTACCGAAATCCTACAGACCAGTTTGATCATTTAAGAATCTGGACCTATAGCATAACTCCATTTACAATGGGAGTGCAGTAAGTTTAGGATTGCATGAGCAACTTCTCATCTCAAATGTAGAGGTAATCTGATTGGGGATTCTGGCATATTACGGATGTGCTGAGTTTGCATTTTCAGGGTCTAATCAGTCGCCTTCAAAGCGCCAGACAAGCTCAATCTATCACAGGGACGGTGCTAAAATGATTTGTAGTGCCATGTAGTCTGCATCCTGCAGCGACATCACATCTCTAAAAGTCAACTTCCTTTCTTCTAGAATTTGAGGTAAAATGAAAACTATAAGTGGTGAAGATCAGAGCTTTCTTTGTGTATACTGTTGCGCTTTTTTGCCTCCCGATTGCAATCTGACCATTTTTCTTTACTTCTTCACAATCCTTTGTTTGGAACTCACTGAATTGATTATCTCTGTTACCTCTGCCATGCTGTACCTGTTTTTGTGCCTGTTCGTGATCCCAGAACTAAGTCCACCAAAAGACACACATTTTCCTTTTTCAATTTTCAGTCTCAATTTCACATTCAAAATTGCCCTCCTTTTTTGTCATTCTTTTCTGTGCCATGCCTGATAACCTGAGGCGCAGACAGTGTTTTTGTACATAAACTGATTAAGGGAGTGTCTCCATCCATTCATGGCTAATCGTGGGAGTGGAAATACGGCTTGTGTTAAATTTTTCATACAGTACATATTTCTGGTTTTGCGCTTACACATAGTTTTAAGTCATGAATCTACACCCAGTTTTATGCATCTGGCACCTGATATGTTTTCTGCACACAAGCAGCAATGACAGCTGTTTGTTACAGTTTACAAAGGCTGCAGCACAATTGCAAGGTTTCTGTGGGGAACTACGTTTTTTTGCTTTCTAAAGACATTCAGAATTGCAGAACTATTCTTGGAAAGAATAGGAATACTTCTCGGAATAGAGTAGGATCAATTATCAGTCAACATGACACATGAACACTTAACATTGACTCCATGTTCCCTGGATACCCAGTTCTAATGTTCCTCTTGTCAGATACTAGATAATGATTGAACTGAACTTGGATAAGGAGGGACACAGGAGTGTACAGACTGTACAGTAACGTTTGAGGAAATGTCTCAATTGACACCTTAGATGGTCAATGAATTCATATCCACAATACTCACTACTGATTCCGAAGATGTGGGAGCGTTAATTTTAGAAGTTAAACATCATTCTCTTGTAACGTCATGCAGTTACAAGCCTCGACGTCTTAATTATGTTTTAGGGAAGAAGTAAAGCGAAGATAAAGGACAAGCAGACACTGAAGAGGAGTGGTGGTGTTCACTCACTTGTTCTGATGCCTTTTTGACATAGTGCTTTTGATTGAATTACCTTTATGTTCTGGTCGTTACATGTGGGCTATGGCTGCAACAAAGGATAATAGTGCAGCAGATGACCTTGTATATGGAGGGTATTGTGAATTTTATGACTAAAGCATGAAACTTTCTCCAGTGTTTCTATAAAACATGAAGTTTATTTTCAGACGTGGAGACATTTCACATGTAACCTGAGTCCCCTGGAGTAATGAGTGTGGACGAGACCAAACTAGCATGCTTGCTTCTGAATAGAAGGCTATCTGATTTTTTTATGCCTTAAAACACTATTTTGTCTTTTATACCTTACTATATTATTACATTTTTATAACTTACTATACTATGATGTTTTTTACCTTACTATACTATGACATTTTATGCCTCATTATACTATTTTGTTTTTATGACTTACCAAACTATGATGTTTTGGACTTAATATACTATGAAGTTTTTTATGCCTTATTATACTGTGACGTTTTTGAAAGCCTTATTATACAATGACTTTTTTATGCCTTACTATACTATGTTGTTCTTATAATTTACTATACTATGACGTTTTTATGCCTTACTATACTATGTTGTTTTTATAATTTACTATACTATGACGTTTTTATGCCTTACTATACTGTGATGGAAATCTGAAAATGGACAGTTGACAAAATTATCAAGTTGTCTTTATGTATTTTAATAAGAGCTCTGCAAAGGATACAGTCACACAGAGTATAATTGCAGACTGATATCAAACGAAGAGTGTACCTGAACTTTATATGAAGAGTGAAGACGGAGGCATGGTCAGGATATGTGTGTGTATAAACAATTACGGAAGCTAACTGTCAAAAGAAGCAGCCGCGTGCTCGTTTTCATACCTTACTATACTGTCGTTTTTATAGTTTACTATACTATGATGTTTTTGACTTACTTTACTATGACGTTGCTATGACGTTTTTATACCTTATTATGATGTGACGTTTTTTGTGCCTTACTATACTATATTTTTTATGTCTCACTATACTATGTGTTACATATTTGTGAGAACTGATGTTGGAACCCAGCAGACAAAGAACACAAAAGCAATAACAATGCAACAGAGTTTATTGGGGAGAAGGCAGTGGTGATGGTGAATGTGGAGGGAGAGTGGGTCCAG